ACTCTACAATCTTATCTGCTGAGCCCTCACATGGGCTATCAGATTCAGTCCATAGCTCATGGTCTCATGGTATCCTGTATGGACTGTGAATCCGCTGGCAGAATCCATTTCTGACAGCTGATGCATATCTCTTATTCTCTTGCCAACTCTTTCAAGGATGACAGAATTCCCCATTCTTTCCACCACCTGCTACAGTTCAGGCCCATAGGTAATGATAATTTGTTGACAAATGATCATTTGTTCTGTTTTGGGTGCTGTGTCACCTTGCTGTATTGTTGCCTTGCTGTATTGTCCTTTCCTGATTTTGTCGGCAGCCTGCCTACCCATTTCCTTCGTGGTTGCATCGTTGAGCCAAGCAGCACAGTCTTAGTGCCCAGGTGGTGTGATGCCTGGCACTTCTGGCATTTTGGCGCAAATCTGGCAGTTGAAAATGAGTTCTGCTGGGCTCTGGCCAGTGACTGAATGTAGAGTGCTCCTGTAAGCCATCAGGAATCTCTACAGTTCTCTTCGCCAGTCTTTTCCTTCCGCATGAACAGGGCGAATCGCTTTACAAAGCGTTCTGTTTTGTCGTTCAACCTCCCCACTTGCTTGAGACCAATAGTGCCATAGATTCCATTCTCCTGCACAAAATCTATGAATTCATTCGCTGTGAATTGTGCTCTGTTGTCAGAAATAAGTACTTCTGGCAGGCCATGTGTAGCAAACATCTCTGTCAGGCATTTCACAACATTGGATGCACTAATGTTACTAATCACACTCACATCCACCCACCTTGAGTAGTAGTCTGTTGTGATGAGCAAATGTTTGCCTGATGGGAATGGGCCACACATGTCCACAGCTACTGTTGGCCATGGTTTACTGTGCAGCCCTGTGCACATGGTTGGAATAGGCCTGGGAGGTGTAGCATTCATCTGGCATGCATAGCAAGTCCTGACCAACTGCACTGCCTCCCTGTCCATGCCTGACCATCAGACCTTTGTGCACAGAAGCTGTTTCATTTGCACCTTGATGCCCTTTGTGAGCCAACAACAGTGTTCTTTCCTGTGCTGCCTGTGGCACAACAGTGCGAGTCCCCCTCAGAACAATGTGTTCAACACAAGACAACAATACTTTGGTCTGTAGAAAAGGACTACGCAGAGTGACCACGTTAATTTACAAGGCCCAGGAAGCATCTTACTTCCTCTGCAGTCTGTGGTTGTCATGTATCTTGGACCGCCTTCACCTTGGACTGGACCACACCAAAAAGATTTTTAGTGAGAAGGTGACCCATGAACTCCATCTCAGACATCCTAAAGTCACATTTGTCACCGCTCAACATCAGCAGCTTGAAGTCTCTATAACACATGGTGCAATCTTGATTCATGCTCCTGCACGTCCTGGCTGAAAACCAAAATATCATCTGAAATCCTCTTGGATGTGCTGGAGGACCTGATGGAGGTGGCATGTCGCCATTTCTCAGAATTGCTTTTGTGACCGTTCCCCTGAGATTTGTTTCTTGGTTTCTTGCTTCTTGCAATTTCATCTCTGAAATTAAGCACAGCTGAAGCAAATTACTGCAAACTAAAACTAGAACTTTGAACGTCTTCACGAGCAGCCATCGGTGAGGGGGCACTGGGCTTGTCTTCGTTATATAAGAGAAGAAGAAGCTCCTTATAAATCACAAGTAGGTCCTCGGCTTCTTCAAGTGAGTGGATTCAAGCTTCAGGGATATATTCTTTCAACACACTCCCTAACAGAAGGCACTATGAACTGTGCTTCCTGCAAAATCAGACACTACGATGATTCACACAACTCTTCAACACTGGTGCAAGAATGGTTTCTGGAAAAACTGGGAACTTGACTCTTCACCACAGGATGTCAAGTACCTGGTGGTCAAATTCTGGACTGGTAGAGTGGCAGATGAGGATATTGAAATGTACCTTCGATGCATCTGTGACCTTCTTTATCCTGTCCAAAAACAGGTAGGCCAGTTTGGAATATGGTATGGTGTACGACGATGCAAAGTCAGAATGAAAAAACAACCTGATTGCAACCTGATGTCAATCCCCAACTCCATCTTCATGGGGCCGTATAATGGACGCCTCGTTTTTCCTGGGCAAACCGAGAGAGGTTACATCTGTATCTCAACAGAACTTAAGGACTGTGACATCTTGAAATGCTGGAAATGTAGCCAGCATGGACATAAACGGAAGGAGTGTTCGAACCTGGAAATCAGCAATCTCTGTGGTGAGATGGGACATCTGTATTTCAGGTGCCCCTGATCATAAAGTAATAAAATGAAAGTCCCAGAGCAGATCCAAGAGCAACAAGAACCAGAGCAAAACAACCCAGTGGTGATAGAAGGAAAGCTGCATGAAAACAACATGACAGAACCAAGCCAGAAGCAGACACACACACAGAATGATGAAAAACCAACCCAGGCGGATGGATGGTGTGGAGAGGACACACTGAGCAGCGAGACAGAGTACAGCAGCACAGGCAGCGAAAAAGATGAAACTTGTACAACCTCAAGCAGCATTGAAGATGAATTCTTACCTCTTCATGGACATTCAGAGAAGGACTTGCCACCAAAAACACAACAAGTAAAAGGACATCTCTATAAGAGACTTCCCCAATGGCACCAACACATCACCAAAAGACAGCCACATGTCAGAGACAGAAAAGAACAGCTACAGCTGAACTAAATCCAGAGAAATAAAAACAAAAGAAAAAGCTGTTACTACCTCAGAATAAGCTAAGTCTTATTTATCAAAACATTATGTAGTTATATAATATACATAGTGCATAGATACCTATAAATATATGTCATTTAATGTAGAATCTATTAATCTAAAAGGTGTAAAATCAGAGAAATTGTAAAGAATATATAATATGGGCACAAGAATTAAGGTTAATAGGGTTAGAAGATATAAATGAAATTTAAAAACCTATGGACAGAGGGAACATCAGTTCTTTCTATAGGTGAAAATAGATAGATAGACAGACAGACAGATGAGAGGGGTATGAAAGAATTTCCAATACATTAGATGTACCATGGCCAAGAACAGGACATCCCCCCGAAATTGACAAAAGGACAAGAAGAAAACCTATCAGGGAGGCTTATCATCCAAAGAACAATATACCCATGGTGAAGCATGGTGGTGGCAGCATCAAGCTATGTGCCTGCTTTGCTTCAGCAGGGGCTGGGACTCGATTTCATGGATAACACCAGATAATAACCTATTTTGGCACAAAACCTGCAACAGCTGAAGATGAATAAAAAATTCGCCTACCAGCACGATAACAACCAAATCCATGTCAACAAAGGAATGGCTTCAGAAGAGGAAGATCAACGTTTTGGAATGCCCCAGGCTGAGCCCAGATCTAAATCCTATCAAAAACCTGTGGACGACGACTGTGTGCAGGAGATCCCCTCACAATTTGAAAGATCTGGAGCATTTTTGTGGAATTCAGTTGCCAAATCTAAGAAAAGTTATGCTAAGTTGGTAGACTCTTACCCAAAAACAATGAGTGCTGTATTAAAAGCGAAAGAGGCCATGCTGTACTGGATCACTTACAAACTCACACTTTTACACCAGTCAGTTATCCAGTTCAACTATGAATGTGACGTTGTGTGTTTGCCTCGAAGCATCTCAGGTATTGCTCTGTGTGTATGTGTGTGTGTGTGTGTGTGTATGTGTGTGGTCCTGCGTGCCAGTGCACATGAGGGCAGTATTGGTCTTGCCCCGTGTGCTTGTGTGGAATGAGGAGCTGAAGATGGAAGGATGTGATGAATGTAGAGGTGAATAGAGGATGACAGGATGAGCAGCCTCCTCACTGTAAACCGCCCCAACCATGATGTTTGTGAGCTCCTCTGCACATCGCCTGCGTAATGACACACTGCCACCTGAAAACTGGCTCATCTCGTGCTCTTTTGTTGATTTTGTTGTTTCTCTGATTATGTCTCTGTTTATTTTGACTTTTGGACTCTTCGTTTTAATCCCTCACTCTCATTATCATTTCTCTCTCTCCCCATCTCAATCACTCAAGTCTACACCTTGTACAAATATTCTCGTAATGCAATGTCTAACCATGTAAGGAATAACACACTTGGGGATGTGCTGTTATAGGAAAATAAACAAAATTTGTTTATGTGTAGTATAGTTTGGCTAACATATTGTATGGTTTTGGTGGTGCATAGCATAGATTTGTTCATGTATAGTATAGATTTCCTAATGTATAGTTTAATTTTCTTCATGTATAGTATACTGTATTTTTCTTAATGTATATTAGTATAGATTTCCTAATGCGTAGTATAGTATGGTTAATGTATAGTATACTGTAGATTACTTGCAATATATAGAATAGATTTCTTAATGCAAAGTTTTGTTCATGTGTACTATGGATTTCTTAATGTGTATGTAGTATAGATTTCTTACTGCAAAGTATAGTGCTGTTCCTGTATAGTACAGATTTCTTAATCTATAGTTAAATTTACTTCATGTATAGTATAGTTTGGTTCATGTATATTATAGATTTCGTAATGTAAACTGTACTGTATATGGTATAGATCTCTTAATGCATAGTATAGTTTTGTTCATGTACAGCGTAGAGCTCTTAATTTAGTATAGATTTCTTAATGTACTATATGTAGTATAGATTTCTTGATGCATAGTATAGGGTGGTCCATGCATAGTGTAGATTTCATAGCATACAGTATAGTTTGGTTAATGTGCATATAGTACAGACGCATAATTTTGTTAATGTGTAGTTTTGTTTATGTACTGTTTAATTAATTTTATATATTATAGTTATGGTCATGTATAGTTTAATTTTGTTTATGCATAGTATAGATTACTTAATATATAATAAGTAATTAAGTTGTTGTTGTTGTTCTTTCAGCTGCTCCTGTTAGGGCTCACCACAGCAGATCATTGGTCCACATATTTGATTTGGCACACTTTTTACACCAGATGCGCTTCCTGATGCAACCCTCCCTGATTTTATCTGGGCTTGGGACCAGCACTGGTCGGGAATCGAACCCAGGCCACAGCGGTGAGAGCACCGAGGCCTAACCACTAATCTTCCAGGGACCCTATAATAAGTAATTAAGTATTAATGTTAATTTATTACTCTCTTCCTGATCATCTCTGTTGCTTCAGGTTTTTCTCTCTCTCTGGTGTCTTTCTTCATGCTTTACATTTATGTTAAATAATTTCGTTGTTTTTGATTATGTCTAAGTCGGTTTGTTCTACCTTATGCAGAACCACAGCACAGGGCCAGATGGCAGAAACATGGGGAGCGACGTCTCCCCCGCAGCCTGATAGCTGAATGCTGCAGGAACAAATAAAGCCTATGAGATTTCACTTTATGAGATGGAGCTGGATTTAACTCTCCTCCTCCTCTTCCTTTATTCCTACTCCTCCTCTACTCCTACTCCTACCCACAGCAATCACACTGCACAAACTCATGATCATCCTCTAAAGTGAAAAATGTAGAAATTATACCAGACCTGAGTGTTCCATTGAACATCCAAGTGTGAATGAAGAAAACAAAACAGAAATTACAGAGTTAACATACAGCAAGCTACACTTGCTAGGTTAACCTACTCTCACTAGATTAGCTTTTACTCGCTAAGTTAGCTTTCACTCGTGAGGTTAGTTTTCATTCTTTATGTTAGCTTTCACTCATTAGGTTAACTTTCACTCGCTAGGTTAGCTTTCACTCGTTAGGTTATCTTTCACTCTCTAGGTTAGCTTTCACTTGCTAGGTTAGCTTTCGCTCACTAGGTTAGCTTTAACTCAGTAGGTTAGCTTTTACTCGCTAGGTTATCTTTTGCTCACTAGTTTTCACTTGATAATTAGCTTTCACTCACTAGGTTTGCTTTCTCTCAGTAGGCTACTGTTTAACTCACTAGGTTAGTTTTTACTCAGTAGGTTAGCTTTTACTTGATGGATTAGATTTAACTCAGTAGGTTAGATTTCATTTGATTAGGTTACCTTGAGAGGTTAGCTTTAACTTTGGAGGTTAGCTTTCACTTCATAGGTTTGCATTGCTTTCGCATTCTATCTTTCACTCGCTGGGGTAGCTTTCATTCACTATAATAGCTATTACTTGATAGATTAGCTTTCTCTCACTAGGTTGGTTTTTGCTTAATAGGTTAACTTTCACTCTGTATATTAGCTTTTACTTGATATATTTACTGTGTACTTTGCACTGCATGTTGTAACAACAAGAGCAACATTAACCTTAAAAATCTGTCAAACAAGTAAATGTATAAAATAAATCACAGGTGTTCAACCAAAAAGAACAATTTTCTTGACAAGTCAATCTTGGAACAAGAACTGAATATAAATCGTTGACGGCACGTAGAAAAAACGATGTCGTGTCATACAGACTGATCCATCTGTCAGTCATGCACACGCGCTGTGTGAATTCTCGCATTCAGACCTACTTCCTGTCACACCGTACCAACATCACAGGCTTCAAGCAGGGTGTCTTTCTTCTAAGACTTTGTGTGTGTGTGTGTGTGATTACTCAAATTTGTTAGAAAAGAGAAGAAAGCTAGTGAGTGGAGAACAAGAGAATCTGCAACAGATCAAGATCAGTGTAGGTCCTGTCAAACCTCAAAGCACTCGTAGCTTTTATGGAAAACAGCAAAGGGTGAGCAGAAGACAAGCCGAAGACAAGTGTGTCAGGTCCTGGCTTCAGTTACCAGCACTACAAAATCATTTTTCAGCATTAACCAGTAATCGTGATAAATTAGAGCTTGACCCCAATGCTCTTAGCCATTCACATTTGGGAGAAAGGTCAGATTGAGATTGGTGTGTTTTTCTTTAAGATCCGTGTCATTATCTACATCTCAATCTGACATGAACAACCAACAGAGAAAACATCTGTAATGTAGCTGTGTGCTGTGGGATGCAGGTTGTTTCGGGGCAGATTTGGGCAGATGAATGTTGGTGTTTGTTGGTGAATGTTGGTGTTTGACAGTAAATGCTGGAGTTTGATGGTTTGGCGGTGTATGTTGGTGTTTGATGGTAAATGTTGGGGTTTGAAACAGTGTTTCATGGTGAATGTTGGTATTTGATAGAGAATGTTAGTGTGTCATGGTAAATGCTGGAGGTTTATGAAAAATGTTGGTGTTTGATGGTGAGTGTTGGGGTTAGATGATAAACAGTAGTGTTTGGTGTTTGAAGGAGAATGTTAATGATTCTTAGTGAATGTTGATGCTTGAGAATGTTACTGTGATGGTGAGCGTTGATGCTTGGTACAGAATGTTGATGTTTGAGAATGTTGGTGTTTGTGTCACGGTTCATGGGTTCATCGGCCTCTTCTGGCCGTTCTGTGTACTACCGTTGATTAGTTCACTAGTTTCAGCTGCTACTCATTTACTGCTCAGTGTTTGTCTTGTCTTTGTCAGATTGTTGTTTCATGTCTGTGTTCTGTGCAGCACCTGTAGTTAGCTCTGTTTCCTGGTTCTCTGCTCTCTGGTGGATTACTGTCGTTCAGTTTTGGATTATTGGACTGTTTATCTTCCGTTGCAGCCAAGCGCTACCGAGGAAGCCTGCCCTCACTGCACTCACAACTTCCCGTCCACAGTAATCCTGTTTTGTCCAGTTCACACCACTTCTCTTAATAAAGCATCACTTGAACTCGCACTTGAATCCATCTCGTTATCCCTGACAGTTTGTTAGTAAACGTTGGGGTTTGATGATTTGTGTTGGTGTTTGCTTGAGAATGTTGGTGTTTGAGTGTAAATATTTGGAATTGAGCGAGAAATTTGGTATTCAATAGTGAATGTTGTTTGATGGCGAATGTTGGTGTTTGATGAAAAACACTGGTGTATGATGGTAAATGTTGGTATTTGATGGAGCATGTTGGTGTTTGATGGAGAATGTTGGTGTGATGAAGAATGTTGGAGTTTGATGGAACGTATGTTTGTTTGACAGTAAATGTTGATGCATGATGGAGAATGTTGTTTCATAGAGAATGTTGGCGTTTCATAGGAAACGTTGGGGTTTGATTAAGAATGTTGGTGTTTTTTAATGGAGAACTTTGGTGTTTCATAGCAAAAGATGTTTAAGAATGTGTGGTGTATGACAGTGAATGGGTTTGATGGAGAATATTAGTGCAGCACAAGCAGAGCACATTCAATGTCCACGGGAACGAATGATATAGCTGAGATGATTTTCCTGGTGTCAAACGTTTATAGGTCTTGTTAATTAGCTAACAAACTAGCTAGCAGAATTAAAATATTTTAGCTGTCACGTACAAATGAAGTATTTATTGAAATAAAACTCAAACTGAATTCTATATTTTTGTCATATTAAGCATGTTATCGTATCAGATCCCAATGCCACTGATCATGATTCAGTCCCTGGAGTCTCATAACTTCATTTAAACTGATGAAGTATTGCAGAATGCAGAACAGGAAATTGACACGGTCACGTTGAAAATCATATTGTTACCCAGCCTCAGCTTTTAATACGTGAGTTTGACTTATTAGCATAACTCTCAGAATCTCATTATGAAACTTGGGGATAAAGTTGTCGCCACTGAAATAAGATCTATGTGTTTGCTACAATAATTCTGCTCTAAAAACAATCTCTAATTTGCATATCTGTTCCATTTCCAAACAAGAAAGCCAGCAAAGAACAATCATCAAGATGTAAACACTGCATTAACCTCTGGGGTTTAACATTTTGTTGTCTGATACATTGAGAGATTCTCAAGGCCGTTATTAAAATCCTGCATTAGATCGAGAAATTATTGAATCAGTATTCCCAGTGATCGTTCCCTGGATGCCACACAAATGATCACATAAATCATAAAATGTAATTAGACGTGCTCCATCTGCTGGAATAATTGCCCGTGAGGGGAATACAGATCTAATATCTGAACTGTAGCAACAGTTGAATTTTGTCATTTTAAATCACTTTGCTCTGAAAAGAGAGTCAGAGTGCTGACGTGAACGTAGGCAGAAGGTCATCATTTTCAAGATCCAGTAAACTCCTTCATATATCCCAACATAACATAAATCACATGCAAATGTTCTTTCTGCTGTTTTATATAGGCAGGAAACAAATAGGTATGATCATTCCTAGGTCCCAGGAATATTTATTTTAATCCATTATACTTATACTTATATTATGCGTATTGTAGAAAGAAGTGTTTCCTCAGCATATCCCACTGTAGAACCTGGTGTGTGTGGGTGTGTGAAGGAGCGTTCTGGAGACAGGCAAATCTTATCGAACTTCATGCTTCTTTTATTCTCTCTTCTTTTCTTTTTCTATTATAATTTTTACATAGTGTGAACACTTTTCAGTATGCTTCTCATCCACTTAATAAAAAAACAAAAAAACTCAAAATCTTTTGTAACTTCAATCAAGTTCATAGGAGAGTGTGTGTTGCTTCGGTTTCACCCACTCAATCACTCTCCATCCACAGCTAACACTTGACCATGCCCATTCTGCCACCCCCATCATGGAAGCAAAGTGAGTATGAGTTTTGAGTTTCTGCTTGTCTCACGAACAGAGTTCAAGATAACTGATGCCAAACAAACACTTGAATAAATCATTAACTTCTTATATGGAAAGTAAATGTACTGAACATTTTTGTGCTATTCCTGCTATAGAACACACCAGTCCGTTGGGGCGTGTGTGTGTGTTGGGAAGTTTACAGAAAGTTCTCTCCACTATTCACACCAGTTTATTTGGCTTATTGATTATTTTACTAGACAATAAGAGAGCCAAATGATACATGAGAGTGATGGAATAGGTTGAAGGTTGATGATGTTTGATAAAGAATGTTAATGTTTGATGGTGAATGTTGGTGTCTGATGGTGAATGTTGGTGTTTCATGGTGAATGATGCTGTGTGATGGTGAATGCCGGTTTTTATTGTAAATGTTTTTGATAGAGAAAGTTGTTTGAAGAAGAATATTGATGGTTGTTTCTGGATGTTGCTGTTTGATGCTGGTGTGTAATAATGAATTGTGGCATTTGAGAAAGTTGGTGTTCAACAGAGGATGTTGGTGTTTGTTTTTCAATGTTAATGTCTGATGGGGAATATTGGTGATTGATGGTGGATGC